GGAGAGAGGGAGGGAGGGGAGGGAGGGAGGGAGGGAGAGAGAGGGGAAGAGAGAGAGAGAGAAAGAGAGAGAGAGGGAGAGGGAGGGAGAGGGAGGGAGAGAGATCTTGGAAAATCCAAGTCATTTGACTTCTAGAAACAGGGATCTGAGAGGCATTAGGAGAGGCCTAGCCATTTCAAAGGATTCTAACCTTCCTAGAAGCCCGGGCTGCCTCTTTTTTGATGTCTTCAGGCAGGAATCCATGGAAACCTCTGTTGGATTGGCCCCTCTGAGGCAGCTTACTAGATAATATCTGAGGGAGCAGCAGAACCAGGCGGTCAACAGGGATGAGCAGTGAAATAGTGCAGTGGGGTGACAATGACTAGGAAGGAGAGCTAAGAAATAATGTGCTGGAATATACATATACATATATATATGTGTGTGTGTGTATACACACATATACATATATATATGTATATATATCTCACAGATATTTATAGGACAATTTCTTTATGAAGGCTTCTGCAGCACTATGGGCTGGGAATAATAACACACGTTTCAAATTTATTAAGTGGTTATACAAAGAGGTGACAATTCCGTATGTCAAGTTATGAGCATAATGCATCTTGATCAATGCCATTCCTTCCATCATTCTCCCCCAATTTCTCCCTCCCATCCCTACCCTCAAGTTATGTAGTTTAATGTCCAAATATTAACTCATTGAATAAACTTTCCACAGATGCGACTTTCTCAAGGCCACAGAGATCCAGAAACTGTGCTCCCATGTACCTTTATATTATACTGCCTCTCATTTACTGAGGGCTGCTGCTATTGTGAGCTGAACATTGGGAAAACATTTCCTTTGTACACATTCATTTTGTGCATACCACAACTCTATGATACCAAAGTTATTGTGACCTTTATCTTACAGTGGCCACTGAGGTACAGTGTGACAGTGGCATGGGCTAGGGTCACAAGACAAGGAGTAGCAGAAGTAGCATTCACACTTGGACCTACAGACCCTACTCTTTATTCTTTCTGCTATATTCTTCTTCAGTACAGAATACTTTTGTCAGAGTATGACAGAAGGGAAAACAGTATTTTAAAAGTTTATCTGGTAGATCGGATGCCAGTGGCTCATGCTTGTAATCTTAGCGCCTCAGGAGGCTGAAATATGAGAATCTGGGAATGTCAGATGAGGTTTGAAGCAAGCCTGGGGAGGAAAGCCTGTAAGACATTTATCTCCAATTAACTACCAAAAGAGATAGAAGTGGAGCTGTGGCTCAAGTGGAATCCTGAGCAAAAAGCTCAGGGACAGCACCAGGTCCTGAGTCCAAGCCCTAGGACTGGCATACTGTATTATAGAAGGGAAGAAGTTGTGTATTTATTTATTCAGTGCTGGTACTGGGGCTCGAAGGGCCTCACACTCTTGCTAGGCTATTTTTTGTTGTGTACATGTCTTAGGGCTTGAACTTAAGAACTGGGCATTGTCTCTGAGCTTTTTGCTCAAGGTTAGTACTCTATCATTTGAGCCACACCTTGCACTTTTGGCTTTTTTGGTGGTTAATTGGAGATAAGAGTCTCACAGACTTTCTTGTCCAGGCTGCTTCTAATTGGGATTCTCAGATCTCAGCCTCCTGAATAGCTAGGATTATAGGAGTATGCCACCAGTGTCCAGCCTCTCATTTGGCTTTTTCTGCTCAAGGATGGCACTCTACCAAATGGAGCCAAGCCTCCACTTCTGGCTTTTTACTGGTTAACTGGAGATAAGTCTCTTGGATTTGTCTGTTCAAGGCTGGCTTTGAACTGAAACTCTTAGATCTCAGCTTCCTGAATAGCTAGGATTATAGGCATGAGTCACTGATACCCAGCAGGAATTGTACTTTTAAAAATGTACTTTGTTTCTTTGTTTATGTTTTTAAGATAGGGTCTAGCTATATAACTCAGGTTGGTCCCAAATTCTTGCCTCAACCTCCTAAGTACTGGGAATGTAGGCATGAAGTACCATGCCTGGGATAATGGGCCTTTTGTTTCTGAAAAGCTTCCTAGGTAGAATTTGGAGTGGGAAATCAAGGAGAAAGAAGCAGCTGGGCATGGTAGGTCACAGCTGTAATCATAGCACTTGGGAGGCTGAGGCTAGAGGGTTAGGTATCTGGAAGTAGTGAGGCCTTGTCTCAAAAGGCCAAACAACCAGCAAAACAAAAACAAGGGAAGATGCTAAACTATTATATACATTGGGAAAATGTCATCACTTCATTCCAACCCAATAACCTTCCAACAATATTGAGAAAGATATCTGAAAGCCGGGCACTGGTGGCTCACACCTGTAATCCTAGCTATTCAGGAGGCTGAGATCTGAGGATCACGATTCAAAGCCAGCCCGGGCAGGAAAGTCTGTGAGACTCTTATCTCCAATAAACCACTAGAAAACTGGAAGTGGCGCTATAGCTCAAGTGGTAGAGCACTCACATTGAGCTGAAGAGCACAGGGACAGCGCCCAAGCCCAGAGTTCAAGCCCCACGACCGAACAACAACAACACGATATATGAACTTTTTTCAGTTATATGAAGTAGTTGTATGAAATGTGTAATAGGAGCTCAGATTTTTTTTTTTTGAGACAGGTGTTGCTGTCAAGGCTGGCCTTGAACTGTGATCTTCCTGCCTCAATTTCCCAAGTGCATCAGGTTATCTTATTTTGACATTATAGGAAAGGCAACACTATAATGTTAGATGACTTCAGGGGTATTTAGCTTATAGCTATATGTTACTAATTATGCTTAAACAAATGTATCTAAATACTAGTTACCTTAAAGCTTTAAGCATAGCATGAATGATTTTTGTTTAACTTATACTTTAATATTCACATTTTCTAGATATAATAAGCATGTGTTATTTCTATAAGCAGAAAAGTCAGTAAAGATCAGATAATCTAAAAATATCCTTTAATAGGAGTTTGTTTTAATATTTCTTGGTCACCCATATCATAAAATATCAATTAGCTATTAAAAGAAAAAAAAAACCTACGTCTGTAAGGTTCTATATCCAAAGATCTATAAAATATATGGAAAGGAAAATAAAACAAGATACAAAATATTGTATATAGTATGTTTATTTTTATGTTAAAAATGTATATGCTTGTAAATGCATCAGAATTAACAAAGCCCTGAGACCTGCAGGACATCCAAGAAAGGAAATTCAGAGCTCTTTTTCATGCACACAGATGTAAAAGTCAAACAAAATATTAACAAGTTGTATCCAACACTATGTTTAAAGGATAATACATTATGATCAAATAGGGTATGTTCAAAGAATGTAAGATTAAAGAATCCAGTTGTAACAAACCACATTAACAAATTAAGAGAAAAATTAAGATAATCTCAACAGAAGCAGGAAATACATTTGACGAATTCAATACACATTCATGATAGCCTCAGTAAAAAAAGAGAACTTCAATCTGACAGAAAGCACCTATAACAAAACCTTACAGCTAAAATCATATTTATAATGGTGGAAAACTAGATACTGCCCTCTAATGTTGGGAACAAGACATGAATGACACTGACACCACTTCTATTGAACATTATGTTGAAGGATTTAGCTTTATTGAAAGCAAGAAGAAATAGAAAACAAAAATTGAAAAAAAGAAAACATTGTCTTTATTCAGACTATGAGCTTAAGGCTAGATTAAAAAATAGTCTGTATAGCAAAAGCTACAAAACCTACAAAGCAAAGGAAGCTTATACTCACAAGACAGAAATAATGCACACTGAGATTGTCTTTCTGAAGGAATTCTCCTAGCTTTTCAGGATCCCCAGGTTCTCGAAGGCATAGTCTGCAAACTAGAAGAATAAACCTTAGGATTAACTGGGCACAGTAGCTCCTGTGATCCTAACTATATAGGAAGCTGAATTGGGAAGCATCTTGGTTCCAGGCTTGCTGAGCAAAAAAGTTGGAGAGACTGTCTCAATTGAATAAGCTAGGAATGGTGGTATGTATGTGTCATTTCTGCTATGGTGAAAGCATAAAAACAGGATCCCAGTGCATGGGCCATGCAAAACGCAAAACCCTATCTCAAAATCAGTACTGCAGAGTACTGCAGACGGGTGCTGATGGCTCAACACCTGTAATCCTAGCTACTTAGGAGGCTGAGATCTGAGGATCACAATTTGAAGCCAGCCCAGGCAGGAAAAACCATGAGATTCTTATCTCCAATTAACCACCAAAACACCAGAAGTGGAACTGTGGCTCAAGTGGTAGAGTGCTAGCCTTGATCTTAGGGACAGCGCCTGGGCCCTGAGATCAAGTCCCACAACCGACAAAAAACAATCAAAACTAGTGCAAAAAAGGGCTGAAAAGCATGGTAGTACAGCACCTGCCTAGCAAGTATGAGGCTCTGATTTCAAACACTAGTACTGAAAAACAAAAAGTTAATTATATAGGCCTGGCTCAATTTGACCATTAATGGAAGAGGAAGCCAGGTGCTAGTAGCTCACGCCTGTAATCCTGGCTACTCAGGAGGCTGAGATATGAGGATTTCGGTCTGAAGCTAGCCTGGGCAGAAAAGCCCCCATGAGACCCTTATCTCCAATAGACTACCCCAAAAAGCCAGAAGTAATGCTGTGGCTCAAGTGTTAGAGTGTTAGCCTTGAGTCAAAGAGGCTCAAGGACAGCACCAGGCCCTGAGTTCAAGCCCGAAGACTGGAAAAAAGGCCCAAAAAGAATGGAAGAAGAAAAACAAAACCACAAAAAAAGGGAACCAACTACTTAAGTATAGGAAGGAGTATAAAGGCCCCTCAGCTTACAAAGGGCTTATGTCCAGATATAATTTGAAAATTCATGTAATAGACCTTTTTTCCCTCTCATGCTTGTATAGCTGACTGGGTGCTGTATTTTGCGGCTGTTTCCCAGCATTAAAGAGAACACTGTACCAGAAATTTTGCCAGCACAAGAAAAGGTAAAGATATTTTGTTTCCATATCACTATAAAGCCAGATAATCAAGGACCATCTGGGTTGAAAAATGAGTCATTTTGGAAGTGATAAAGGTTAAGATGAGGTGTCATTTGGTATGTCAGGCCTTGATATAATTTATATGATACTGAAGGATTTGGCTAAAACAACTTCCTATTATGTTGGTGTCAAGTGGCTTTTAACTAACTTTGCTTTATAAACTTCAAACAAAAAATTTAAGTTACAGACCCTGAGTTCTTCATATCTTGGGAGAATCTGGGAAGGAAGTGGGGTTGACAGTGAGGGCAGCAAGCTAACTGCCTCACACAAGTGGCCTTCTTTGCTAAGGTCTGGACACAGTGGCCAAACATAGCTTCATTTTTCTTACCAGGCTCTGAAGATGGTTTTCTCTGGATTACCCTTCTAGTCCTGGCAGATTTTCTATACAAGAGAAAAAGAAGTACAAGGTGGCCAACCCTTAAAATATCACATATCTTATGGAGGCCCAAAATATCTAAAGGCTAATATACTAGTGTTTTTCATATTTTCCAAGCATAAGACATACCCATTACATTATTTGAAAGTATGGGTTAGTGTTAAGGTTAAACAATCTTTCTGATATGGTCTTTCTGTCCCAAGAGCCTGCACTGCCTATGTTGACTGAATGAAAATGTAAAAGCAAATTCTTTATTCTTTTTCTGACAATTACTTGAAATCTTAGGTGGTACCATCTTCCTAATGCACACTAAAGTGATACCAAAGTTCACTGAGCATTTCACATTGATAGACACTATTCTTCACGTTTTCTGTACGCTTTTTTGGGGGGCCAGTCCTGGGGCTTGAACTCAGGGGCTGGGCACTGCCCCTGAGTTCTTTTGCTCAAGGCTAGAACTCTACTACTTTCAGCTTTTTTGGGTGCTTAATTGGAGAAGATAAGAGTGTTATGGACTTTCTTGCCCGGGCTGGCTTTGAACCGAGATCCTTGGATCTCACCCTCCTGAAGTTACGATTACAAGTGTAAGCCACTAGCACCAGGCATATTCTTCTTTTTAGATTAGAAAGAAAACATCAAATTTAATTTGAAGAACATTCAGAAATTGTTTGCAGGAACAATGGAGCAAATCACTCCTGAGGAGTCTAGCAGCTTGGTGTCACATTTATTGGAACAGTTGGAGAAAAATATGAACACCATTTAGCTTAAGAAGTTGTAAGTTATTTGCAAATCAATCATCTCGGGGTGGAAGAATCCTTGATCATAACTTAATATCAAAAAGTATGCAGGGTTCTCTGAATGACTTCTACATTTGAAGAGGCAATTTTACCAAGTCTCCTACTTTCTACATGGGATAAATTCTTGGTTCCAACTCTCAGAGGAGTACAACACCATCTCCACTGACAAAGAGCACGGGAATATTCTGTTTTGTTTATGTATCTCTTTCTCTTCACACTTCTCATCAATTTCTATGTTGGTCACTATGTCTTCCACATTTCCCAGTATCATATTTAAATGTTGGTCATAAGCATGAATCTGCCTTGAAGCTCTCAGTCATTTCTCATCTTCACATAAAATCCTCTCATTCAGGCTGAGCCTGATGAGATCCAGGGACTCCTCCAGTTTTTTGCTGGTCCCCGTCATCCAACATGTTTCAAATCCTGTGCCTTTCCCCCCATTTCTTGCAAGAACTGGAGAGCATTTCTGGTTTTCCCCCATCCCCCCCAAAAGGAAAGGACAAATGTGCCAGAAGTGCACTGGTGTTTTGTTCCACCTGGTCTATTCTTGGCATTTTAGCATGTAGTAGCTCAAGGAATGTACAGTATAGGTCAGTGATGTACAACACTAAAAAGTGGGTACATTAATGTGCATATTCACTAGATGAGAAAACTGAAGCATAAAGAAATGGCCTGTCCCAGGACACACAGCAAATGGTAGAGAGAAGATGAGGATTTAGGTAATAAAATTTCAGAGCTAGCTACCCAGGACAACTACGGTACACTAAGAAAGGCAGTGTCCAGGAACCCCTGATAAGTACTTTCACACAGTTCAATCCCAGCCTGAGACATGCCAAGGGGAGCAAGAGTGTTTTATGTACCACTGGCCACTGGACAATTTCTCCCAACTCACTCTCGTCAACTAATCTACCTCAGTCTTTGGCATTCCTTCTTTTCTTTTATAGTCTTCATTCGTTGCTGCCTCTCTCTCCTATCTTGAATTCTTCTGTACTATGATGAGGACAATATAGGCTCTTCCAGCTATGAATATAAATAGGGTTTGGTCAGTATTTTGTGTGTGTGGAGCACTGGGGATTGAATTTAGGACTGCTTTGGGTAAATGCTCTACCATTTGAGTAATGCTCCTAAACCATGGAGCAGTAATTTAATTCTCATCTGAATATCACATTCCACAAAGGTCAATAGTGCATATCATCTCCCAATACATGTGGTAGAATAAAAGGGATACCAAGTATCATTGTTAGTACTGGCCAATCATTATTAAATTGGGTATGTTCTAGGCACGCTGGGTGTTAACACATAAGGATCCCATGCACTAGGTAGAATTACCTCCATTTTCAATGTGAAGAGATTGAGGCACAAACAAAATATTTCACCCAAAGCCAGAGTTCATAATAAAGGTATGATCTGAAGTAGCTTCATTCCAGAGGGCAATACTGACTCCCATGTTGTGTATTAAGTTGGAACACTACTTGACTTAGTTAAAATAGTTTTTTGGTGCCTACTAAATGCAGGAGACAGCACTCAGGAAAAAAGGCATCCAAATGTGGGTGCCTTAATCCTATCCAGAAAAAGCTAGATGACAAAGAATAATACCAACACCCCTTTATTCCCCCCTTTTTCTTTTTTCTTTTTTGGGTCCGGTCATGGGGCCTGAACTCTGGGCCTGGGCGCTGTCCCTCAGCTCCTCAGCTTAAGGTTAGTGCTCTACCACTTGAGCCACAGCGCCACTTCTGGCTTTTTTCTTTTTGCTTATGTGGTGCTGAGGAATCAAACCCAGGGCCTCATGCATGCAAAGCGAGCGCTCTACCACTGAGCCACCTTCCCAGCCCTATTCCCCCCCCTTTTTAAACTAGACACAGATGACCACTGAAATTTGGTTTGTCCCCAACTTTTGTATAGACCTTAGCAGAATAAAATGTCCCACAGTGGAGAAAATACCGTGCAACTCCTCCTGTTGCTAGGATTACAAATTAATAGTTTTCAATGGCCCAGGGTAAACCCCTGAATGGGGACAAAAGAAACCAATCTATCCCATGAAGAAAGTATTACTGTCAAGTCAGAGGAAGAAGAAAGATAGTTTCTAAGGAGTGCTACCTGAACCAGGGATTACATACTCTAGTGCCCCAACCTCAGATCAAGGCTGAGCATACTGAATCTCTTTAGGGACCTTTGCCTGCCTACTCTGCATGAACGTGGCTACTGAGGCCTAGGAAGGCTGGCCTGCTCACCCATTCTTTTAGTGCGAGCCCCATCTCCTCTTCCAAGCCAGCAGAGGAAATTGCAGAAGTTGACAATCTGTTGCCTCCTGACTCCACCCAAAAAGCACTAAGACAGGCTGGAGGAGGAGAGAAAGGCGCGCACTAACTTTGCTGTCCCAACTGGGGTAGGCACTGGAGCTGACAACCGGGCTATCCCCCACCATCTTTGCAATAAACCTTGAAACTTCGGTTCTTTGCATCGCTGGATCACGACGTTCCTTGTGCAAGAAGAATCGGGTCCCACTAGGAGTTAAAGGATGCAACCACCTTCCAAAACATCTGAGGGACGGGACTTCCACCATCTGCTCGTGCTCCCTCGAAAAGCTTACCAAGATGTTTCTCTGGATTAAGTGCTGGCTAAGTGCTTGCTGAAAAAATTAACAATAACGCATTCGGCTCCGCCGCGATCGCAAGAATAAAGAATGATCTATCTGGAAAATACGTATCCGTGTGGCCACAACCGTCCTCCAGAGGTAACAGCCGGAGAAGGGGTTCAAGGAGCATCCCGTGGATGCCAGGCCAGGCTCATGTCGCGCCGGCCGGGTGGCTGGTGCGAGGCCGGGCTGGAGGTCGCCTCCGCCGCTCGCTCCTCACGGTCGCGTACGGGCCGCCACTCCCGGGCCGGGGCTGCTCACTCAGCTGTTGCTGAGGGCGCCGCTATCTCGGGGATTTATTCGTTGTCACAAGCCGTGATAGCTACTTCACGGGCGGCCGCCCCGCGTGGTGACTGCGCGGGCGAAGGAGGCGAGGGCTCAGGCAGGCCTGGGCGGGGCCACGAGGACTGCGGGCCCCACGAGGGCCGTCGGAAAACCGGCAGTTGGGCGAGTCGGACCGCTAACGGCCACGCGCTCGCCCCGCCCCCAGCCGCGCGTACGCATCTGCCTCCGCCTCCGAGTGCGTGCCCTCCTCAGCGTGGCAAGCGGAAGAGGAGTCCCGGGGCGGGCTCGTCGCTCCGCAGTGACGTCATCCTGCCGGCGCGGGCGGGTGACGCGGCGGGGCCCGTTGTCTGTGTGTGTGGGGCTGAGGGGCCCCGGGAGCGGCGGGGGCTCCCGGCGGTGGGCGGCGGGGGGTGGGGAGGGCCTGGACATGGCGCTGAGGGGCCGCCCCGCGGGAAGATGAATAAGGGCTGGCTGGAGCTGGAGAGCGACCCGGGTGAGAAGAGGGCCGGGCGGGCTGGGGGCTGGGGAATCCGATGGGCCCTGGGGCGCGCCTGCCTGATACTTCTTGCTCCCCTTGTCGCCCCAACCAGGCCTCTTCACCCTCCTGGTGGAAGATTTCGGTAAGAAACTCCTCTGCAAGCTGGATTGGGGTCGTGGGGGGCCCATCCCTGTGCCCTCGCTGCAGGGGCGCCGTGCTCTTCCCGACCGGTTTTCTTTTCCTATTGTAGGTGTCAAAGGGGTGCAGGTGGAGGAGATCTATGATCTTCAGAGCAAATGCCAAGGGTGAGTGGCAGGGCTGCCTCTTACACCTGGAGGGCTGGGACTGAGGAAGTGGGGTCCCTCAAGGGAATCAGTATCTGGAAATCCAAATTGTAAAATATCACATAAGGAAGAATCCCTCGGTCTGGGTGCTCTTCTAATCAGTTTTTTTTTTGTTGTTGTTGTTCTCTTCCGATTTAATCTTCCACAGTGTTTTCCTTCCCTAACTCTAATCATTCTTAGGGTTTAGCTGCCAAGTCACATAATACCGTTTGTGCAACTGCACTTCATTAATTACATGTCCATTTGTGCTGTGGCTTCAATCACACAAAGGTCATCTAGTATTGATTGGTGACAAGGCCATATTCTGAGGTACCACATTCAGGACCAAACCAAGAAGTCTTCTTCCTTCTCTCTCCCTCCAAAAAAAAGGGATGCAAGTCGGGTGTTTGTATGCTTTTCTGGCATTAGTGGGATTCAGATGCTTGAATTTTGTACCAGTTTTTGTTATTGCCTTATTTGTGTTCCTGCCCTGCTCTACCCTGGACATAGTGGCAGTTTCAGTCTTTCTTCTCTTACCCAGAACCGTAGACTTCATGAGGAGAATGGTGGACTGGAGCACCACATTTAGAGTTGATGTTTGACTCTGCCTCTGGGGTGTGAGAGCCACGTTAAATACAGCATTAGGAAGAACCCAGGGGAGAGGTGGAATCATGGCAAGTGCATCCCAATGATGACAGTGCAAAGGAATAGGGAAAGGAAGGGGGGATGCTGATTGCCTTCTGCTCCTTAATTTCCCAGCCCCGTATATGGATTCATCTTCCTGTTCAAATGGATCGAAGAGCGCAGGTCCCGTCGCAAAGTCTCTACTTTGGTGGATGATACGTCCGTGATTGATGACGATATTGTGAATAATATGTTCTTTGCCCACCAGGTCTGCTGGGCTCTGTGCTTGTTTGGAGGGTGGGATGCTGCTAGGTTTTTTGTTTTTCTCCCCCCTTGGGAAGGCAGGAAGAGATAGAAACCAAAGGTGATGGTTACAGAAATCCCTTGGCACAAGGAACCTAGCTCTTATTCATTAAAGGGAACACCTTACAGTAGTGTGGTTTCTCAGTCCATTTTCCATGTCCTCAGATTCTTGGTGGGTATTTAGTTGATTCAAGTTAAATGAACAGTAAAGATGCTGACAAGAATTGTTGTCCAGATATAACTCCCTGTCTCTGTCCTCATTCCCAAAGAAAGTAGGCTTGGGAAACTTGGCATGACAGATACTATTTATAGTGATGATTCTTGGTTTCACAGTTGATCCCCAACTCTTGTGCCACTCATGCCTTGCTGAGCGTGCTCCTGAACTGCAGCAATGTGGATCTGGGACCCACACTGAGTCGTATGAAAGATTTCACCAAAGGCTTCAGCCCGGAGGTAGGCTGCTGTCTCTTAATCCTGACTCACAGCTAGCTGAGCAGATGTCATCCTCAGGGGCATTCGGAATACTACCATATGATATTTACTACTGTTTGGCTGTTTCTTTTTCAAATGGCCATTAACATTACACTTTTAAAGAATTGTGCAAGGCAGTTGAATTTAGGCTCAGTTGTTAGGAAAGGCAGTAGAGACCTGAGTAACATCATGTCAGAACCTTCTCTGTTGGGACTGTTTCTATCAAGCTGTGTTGCTCCTCAATGTCCTGTGATTACTGTGCAAGGACAGTACCGCTCATTTCTGTACGGCCAAAGTTCTTTGCCCCCACCAACTCTTGAGGAAAGTGCAGCTTCAAATTCCTCAAGTGCCTTTGCGCCTGGTCTCTGGAGCTTTGCCCCCATCCGGAGGAGGCCCACCTGAGAAGCATTTCTGATGGGGCCTTATTTTCTTTCCCCTAGAGCAAAGGATATGCAATTGGCAATGCTCCAGAATTGGCCAAGGCACATAATAGCCATGCTAGGTATGTGAGAACTGATATTGGGTTAAGGGTGAGGAAGAGGCTTAAAAAAAAAACAACAACACAAAACAACAACAACAAAAACCTGCTTCTGTCCTTCCCCCAGGCCAGAGCCACGTCATCTTCCTGAGAAACAGAATGGCCTTAGTGCAGTGCGGACCATGGAGGCATTCCACTTTGTCAGCTATGTACCTATCACAGGACGACTCTTTGAGCTGGATGGGCTGAAAGTCTACCCTATTGATCATGGTAGGCACTTTGAGATGGGGCCTGTTGGGTTTCTCTGCTTACCTCTTGGGTGTCTGAGGCCCAGTTTTCCTCAGATGCTTTGGACCCAATGGCAGGTACTGAAGACATCTAACTCTGGCTAGGGTTTCATCTTGTACTTGTATCTGATCAACTCATGTCTCAACCATATTTGTCTGTCTTCCTTCCCTGGCCTGCTCAAACTCAGGGTTTCTCACCTGCTGATTTCTTATCTTGGTCTCCCATAGGTCCCTGGGGAGAGGATGAAGAGTGGACAGACAAAGCCCGGAGGGTTATCATGGAGCGTATTGGCCTTGCCACTGCAGGGTAAGAGCCCTGAGTCAGCTCAACTCTACCCTTGTGTATCTATGCCATGCAGAGAGAGCCCAGGTGATTTGTAAATTGCAAGGCCATGGTGAATCTGGCAAGATCAAGCTTAAGTCTTGGGCTTCCAATCCTTACCCTCCTACCTTTTGCTTGTTCTGGGTTGCATTTGTGATGGGAGAAGGCCTTGATGAGTGGCCCAGGTGTCCTGGCTCACCTCCTAACATCCTCTCATATAGTTCATGAGAAGCCATCAGCTCAGGTTCTACTGTGCATTGCTACCTGCTGTTTACCTGCTAGGTGTGGCTTATACCTGTGGTGAAAGTATGAATGTAGGATATCTGTCTCAACCTAGTGGTGGGGCTATGGTGGGAGCTGCTCTCACAGCTGTAGCTGTGACTGCAGGGAACCCTACCACGACATCCGCTTCAACCTGATGGCAGTGGTACCTGATCGCAGGATCAAGTATGAGGCCAGGCTGCATGTGCTGAAAGTGAATCGTCAGACAGTACTCGAGGCTCTGCAGCAGGTAGGTGCCTCCCTTGCCTGACCAACCCTATCTTTTCTTCCTCTGCACCATCTTTGATTCCCTGATCACACTTTTTTGTGGATTGTATTTCAGCTAGCCACTCTTTTCCTTTGCTTCCTTTGTGGGAAAGTTGGAACTTGGGGGTGGGAAGGGAGAATAGCATCTAAAATGGATTATCAGTGGGCCTTTTCATTTTCCTATGAATGAGAGAATGTGTAGGACCAAGGCCATGGTGCTGTCCCCCAAGCCAGTGGAGGCCTGGTTCTAGCCTCTCTCTGAGCCTTGGCTTCTGTTTTCAGTTGATTAGGGTAACACAGCCAGAGCTTATTCAGACCAGCAAGTCTCAAGAGTCACAGCTGCCTGAGGAATCCAAACCAGCCAGCAGCAAGTCCCCTCTTGTACTGGAGGCAGGCAGAGCCCAAGTGGCCTCTGAGAGCACCCACACAGGTACTGGAGATACATAGCTTGACCCAGGAGGTCCCAGTAATGCAAGTCTTTTCTGTGGAGATACTTGGGTAGTTGTGCAGAAGCCCAGTGCCTCTCCCTCAAAATATAGACAGTAGTCCTTCCCTAAAGGGTACCTTTAAAGGGTTGTTACTCCAGGCCTCTGAGCCCTCTGTAACATGCCTTCTCTTTTATTCTAGAGGCCTTTTTTCTTCCTGCTTCCTTTTTTTTTTTTTTTTCTGTTATTCTTCTCCCATTCTAGCTGTGGGACCATTCTAGAGTTCATTCACTCCCATCCCATTAGATGACTCAGCTGTTTTCTGGGAAGAGAGAAGGAACAGTGTGTTCAGAGGTTTGGGAAGACTGTGTATTTCTCTTGAGTTTCCAGCTGACAGTCTTGCCTATACGCCTTGCCCTGTTTCAGAAGGTGCAGAGGAGGTAGCTGGGTCATGCCCACAAGCTCCAACCCACAGTCCTCCCAGCAAACCTAAGCTGGTGGTGAAGCCTCCAGGGAGCAGCCTCAATGGAGTTCCTCCCAACCCCACCCCCATTGTTCAGCGGCTGCCAGCTTTTCTAGACAATCACAACTATGCCAAGTCCCCCATGCAGGTAAGTTGGAAGGTCCCTGGCAGGATTTCCTCTGAGGGACAACTATGGAAGTTCCTCAGGTGGCTTTTAGGTGTTCACACTCTGCTTGGGCCTGTTTGGGAGGTTCCTCTGATAATCAGAGTCTCACAAAGGCAGAGGCTTAAGGAGGCAAGGAAAACTCCGATTGTAAATCCAGTTACATGACTGGGCTTAAATGTTTAGGGGGTACTCATTTGGTACATCTCCATAGATTGGGTTCTGCTGGCAAAATAAAGGTACTTTGTCTTAGAAGCTCTCCATAGGCTTCTGTGCAGTGTCAGTGGGAGGCACCCTCCCTGGGACCCATAGGGAGCACCTGGAGGGGCTCAGCCTGGAGAGTCACATTATCCTTCTCCTTGCCTGCAAGTGCTGTGCCCAACTTTTGAGAGCAGCCCTTTCTCATAACCACTCTGGTCTCTGTTCTTCCTTAGGAGGAGGAAGACTTGGCAGCAGGTGTGGGTCGCAGTCGAGTTCCAGTCCGTCCACCCCAGCAGTACTCAGATGATGAAGATGATTATGAGGATGATGAGGAGGAAGATGTGCAGAACACCAGTTTTGCCATCAGGTCAGCTCCAGCTGTGTAAGGCTAGCATGCTCTGGCCTCTTCAGAATATTCACCTCACATTTGAGAAAGTACTTCAGCAGATAATATTGGGCACCTACAGAATGCCAGCCCCTGGGGGAGGTTGGCCTGAAGGGACTGATACCCCAGGTCCTTAAGAAGTTTTTGGTGGTTTGTGAGGAGAATGTACATACAAGCATGTATCAAGACATGTTCTGGCCTTTCAGTAAGACCTCAAAGGATTGGTTGAGATAGGAGAAGAGTTTGGAGGGATGGAGATGTCAGAGTGGAGACAATATAGTATTGGCTGAAGGCCAGAAATGAGGCATTTAGAGTAGAGGAGTTGTTTTTTTTGAGGACACCTGGCTGGCTACAGGTGACAGAGCTTAAGGCTGCAGATGATACATATCTGGGTTAAGCTGCTTGATCCAGGTGTAAAGAGCTTCAGGGTCTGTTGGAAGTTAGAATATATGCAAGGAATTCTAGGCACTGCTGGGTGTGGTTACCTGGCCCATTCCCTCTGTTCACTTCTTGTGTCCCACAGATACAAGCGAAAGGGGACAGTGAAACCAGGATCGTTGAATAGTTCCACAGATGGGCAACTGTCAGTGCTACAACCCAACACCATCAATGTCTTGACTGAGAAGCTCCAAGAGTCCCAGAAAGACCTCTCACTTCCTCTGTCTGTCAAGACGAGCACCGGGGCTGGGAGTCCAGCAGTGGCAATGCCCACACACTCACAGCCCTCACCGACCCCCAGTAACGAGAGCACAGACACTGCCTCTGAGATCGGCAGTGCTTTTAATTCCCCCTTGCGCTCACCTATTCGCTCGGCCAACCCAACACGGCCCTCCAGTCCTGTCACTTCTCATATTTCCAAAGTGCTTTTTGGAGAGGATGATAGTCTGCTGCGTGTTGACTGCATACGCTACAATCGTGCTGTCCGTGACCTGGGTCCTGTCATCAGCACAGGCCTACTACACCTTGCTGAGGATGGTGTGTTGAGTCCCCTGGCACTGACAGGTGGGCTTTGCACTGGCTCACTGGCCAGGTGCAGCAGTGAGCTCTGGGGGTGGGGGTGAAGGGGTGTGTGTGTGGGGGGTGAAATACACTCAGGAGGGAGGAGGAAGGTAACCAAGTGTCCAACGCTCTAACATGTTTTCTTGTCCTCTTCCAGAGGGTGGAAAGGGTTCCTCACCCTCCATCAGACTGAGCCAAGGCAACCAGGGGTCTAGCAGTCCAGAGGAGAAGGAGGTCGTGGAAGCCACAGATAGCAGAGAGAAGACTGGGTTGGTCAGGCCCAACGAATCCTTGAGTGGGGAAAAGTACTCACCCAAGGTGAGCCTCCTTTGTGGCTTTCTCTTTGAATCCTGGCAGAGAGAAGGGCCTGGCCTTGCTGCTCAGGTGCTGGGATATTGATTGGAATTTAGTTCTGAAGGCTACTAGTTGGAGCCAAGTACCATGAAGCCTTTTTGGGTTGGGTGATGGCAAGGAATCAGTAGGCCTCATGGATTCTGGCTGCTCACCCTTGCCTCTAGCTGCCTCTGAGTAGTGAAGCTCTGGTGCCAGTCAGGCCCTTCAGGTGCAATGCTGGGTTTCGGCAGGAGCTGCTGGCATTGCTAAAATGTGTGGAGGCTGAGATTGCAAACTATGAGGCTTGCCTCAAGGAGGAGGTGGAGAAGAGGAAGAAGTTCAAGGTGGGTGATCTTCCTGCTGCCTGGTCCCTTTTCCCTTCTCAGCTGCTCTGGGAGATGGGCTATGATGCCTTTACACTTCCTTTGTCCTACAGATTGATGACCAGAGAAGAACCCACAACTACGATGAGTTTATTTGCACCTTCATCTCCATGCTGGCTCAGGAAGGTGAGGGGGCTTATTGTATCTTAACTGGTATACCCTGTAGATTGTCATACCTCAGATCCCCCTCCTTCAGAACTTTTCTGAGGCTTGAGCAGGGAGGGCCTTGAGACACCCAGCTCCTGGCCTGACAGTGTGGCTGGTTGAATGAGTGGCTACTGGGCAACCAGCCATCAGCTTAAGGGTTTCTGCCTTCCACAGGCATGCTGGCCAACCTGGTGGAGCAGAACATCTCTGTGCGGCGACGCCAAGGGGTCAGCATTGGCCGGCTTCACAAACAGCGGAAGCCTGATCGGCGGAAACGTTCTCGCCCCTACAAGGCCAAGCGCCAATAAGGGCTGCTGTCTCTGATTGTGCAGCCTGCTCTTGCCGTGAGGCCCTCACCAGGGCCTTTCCCTGCCCTACTCCCCTTTTCCCAGTATTACTGAATAGTTTCATCTAGAGCCCAGACCCTGGTAGTGGAAGCCAGCCGCCATGTTTCCACATCACATCCAGGGGCTTGGTGGGGACAAGTCAGCTTGATAGTGCTTGGGAAGCAGCAGTTAAGAGTTGGGCTACAGCGAGGTACTGTGGCTTTCTCTATAGCCAGAAGTGGAACAGCAGGACTTGGCCCTGTTACCTGGGCAGCAGAATATATTTTTTATCTATCAGAGATGTCTATTTTTTTCTGGGCTCCAGCCTATTTTGCCACCATATTCATATGGCTGGCTTCCCAACTGCTTTCTCAGCTGTCATCTGGTTGGGGCCAGTTGCCCACATCATTCCAGGGTCACAACTGTAAAGACCCAGCTGGGGGCCTTGTGGGCACAGGACTTTGCTGCCCTAGTCTGTCTTCCCCCTTCCCCCTGCCTGTCTGTTGGGATGAAGTCAGGCCTACTCTCTTATTTTGGAGGAGTGACAAACTCAGGGACCCTGCTGCTGGGTTGGAATGATTGAGGTATCCAAGTAAAAGTGGGATGAACAGTCTGCTGGGGTCCCATAGCCTGAGCAGAGAAAAGTGTTTGAGCTGTTGGGTGGCCTGTCAAGTGTCCTAACTCTAGCCAGGCTTGTCAAGACTGCTGTCTTTAGCAAGGCTCTGGGGCTCTTTGCCTTCAGTGTTGTGGCCCTAGCTAAGGGGCCTACATTGGACTCCTGGTCTCTGTCCCTGGAGCCGGGGGCTCAGAAAAGCCTGACTGGACCCTCAGTATTATTGCATCTTCTCCTCTTAGAATTACAGAGAGAGGGCTGCTTTCAGGAACCTGGTACCACTCAAAAATTTCTGCTGTGCCAGCTTCCTCAGCTTCTGCAAGGCACTCAGGGTTGTGCAACAGCAGGATCAAACCATCATTTGGAGGCCCCTGTGTTCTCAGAGGCTTGATGTCAAGGCTTAATGGGTTTTGTATTGCCTTAAGCTCAGGCCTCAAATATAGCCCAGTGGTCTCTTCCAGATGGCTTTGAAGGTGATCCAGGCAGGCCCCTTATCTGTACATACTGACTAAGGGCGGGGGCTGGCATGTGTGGTAGCTACCTATCTGGGCTGAACACAGCTTGATTCCCGCCTCTGGCATCTGTAAATACTGGATCAGTGAATGAATAAAACTACTAAGAAACATCATTGCTGTCTTGAGGTCTGTATGGCTTTTTGTGGGAGTAAGAGACCTACTAGCCTAAGGCCTTATGACCAGAGAATTGGTATGTATGCCTTCCTGGGTGTCTGGCTTCCCTGGGATGGTAGGGCTGAGAATTAGGACCTAAGCTGTGGCTGACAGGTGGGAGGAATTTGCATTTAAATGGGCTGTGGATAAAGTGATGTGTGTGAGGGGGAAAGGCTTGGTTTACCACATCTGGTGACTATGCATCAGAGGTACTAAGACTCTGAGTTGAGGGGTAGTACTGCCTAGGAGTGTCCCAGAAGGTACACTGGGATTCAAGGATATACATTTTATTCCTAATACAGATACAGAGGGGCCATAGCTGCCTCTGCTGCTCTTCCCTGCTGACTGGTCTCTGCTAAGCCTGCTGCCGTTCCTCAACCCCACAGTGGCAACGGGTCCTGCAGAGGGGGCCTCACACAAGCAGCCATGGCACACCTGGACTGACTGAAAAACTTGACTTTACTGACTGGTCCTTCCATGTGAATTTAGTAGTCCAGGGCACAGATGAGGGCCACACCACGCTTTATCCAGTGTCGCTGAGGCTGTTGGGTAGGGATCTCCACAGCAATGACATAGTTGGTGGAGTGGCCTGTGGTAGATAGTGTTCCTGGAGGAGGCAAAAAGAAAAGGTCAGGTCATGCCCTGTCACCTCTACAGCAGGGGTAGGGCTAGGGCAGGGAATTTGGCAGATTGAATTGGGAGCATGGAGGAGGCTTTGGCACCAGAGGAAGCCTGCCTGGTGAGTAGGTGTGGCCAAAGCTTAATCCTGCCCAGAGGACTCAAGGTAAGGGTTAGAGTTGGAGGCCCTACTCTTTCCTGGATAGTCACAGCCTAGGCTTTTCTCCTTTCTGGGCTTCAATTACTCCTCTGGACCCCCAGTGACAGGTGAGGCCCATAGGTTCCCAGGACCCAAAGTGGATCTGCTGGGGAGGCTGGCAGGCTAGAACTAGTTACTGGGTATTAACATGCCTGCTGCTAGCATGGCTCTGCTGACAAACCTCTGTCAGCTTTCCTTTTTCCTTTTGTCAGCTTTTCTGTTCAGCTAACTTGGATTAGTAACAGCTGACTTGGGCTGGGTTGGGTCAGTCCTGACTGCCCCCACCCCTCTCTGAAGTATAGGCTCCCTGCCCTGCTTCCCATACCAGCACGGGTCAATGTCTTGTAGATAGGACATAAATAGTAGTTCTGCAACGTGGCCTTGCGGTTGGGCTTTGGTAAGAGCCAGATGACAGCCATTTCTGTGTACAGCTCCTTGGGCCGAGACTCATCCAACTCGAAGTTCACAGGGTCCCAACGGGCACCTTCCAGGAATAGTCCATGGATGTAACACCCTTCTTCGGGCCTGCTTTTGAGCTCTGATGGTGACTCAGTCATCACCTGTGATGGGCACAGACACAACTAACACCCAGATTTTGGTTAGAGGGACTGTCCCAAGAGCTTTTTGCCATCTGAAACCTGTTGTCTTAGCCAGTAGCCTATACCCTGTCCCTGTGAATTTCTACAGGGTTCTTGGCCTCTTCTGGCTTAGCTTCCCACCCTCTTGCTCAGAGTTGCTATGATTATAGTGCTCCTGCTAGAGCCACCCCAGTCTGTCACCTGACCTTGCCCTGGCTGTCCAGACCTTGAAATCAAAGGTGATAGTGTCAATAGAGATGACGAACTTTCGGGCAAAGTTCTGTAGAGTGCCTGTCAGGAAAGCCTGAGGGAAGAAGAAGCCACTGATCCAAAAGACAGCTGGGATGCCATTTTGGATCCAGGTGTCCAGGAAGTCCAGGCGCTTTATCAGGTCCATGACCCATGAGGCCAGTGGCTTGAGCGATGGGTAGGCCTTTGCATTCCAGAGCTCAGGCACAGTGTTGTTGTACAAGCTGCCAGCCATAAGCTCCAGCTGTGAGGACATCACCACCAGCCCCTTGAGTGCCTTGAGCATGTCTCGCAACGTCTGTATGATCACCTTTATCAGCCGGTTGTACCTATGGGGCCAATGACCAGGAAGTAGAGATCATTTGGCAGTGTCTTACACTTTGCAACTTGAAGTCATAGACAAAAAACTAATGACAAACTTAGAGGCTCAGAGTGCAGAACTGGGTATAAATCTCTTGGCCCTTAGCAAGTACATAACCTGAGGTAGTCACTTAGTCGGTTTTTTTGGGGGTTGGGGTAGGTGGAGTGGTGGGATGGGCTCAAATTATTTAAAATATGGTATAAGTCATTGAGGTAGAGGATAGATGTTTAGCACTTAGCATGACATCTAGCCCGTGGTAGCTAACTCCTGGGGTCATTTCCTTACAGCTGAGTGACCACTTACCCAGGGCTAAGAGTGAAGTAGGAGGACTTACCTAATGACCTCTTGTGCCAGCACTGTGTTCATTGATTCCTCATAAAGCACAGGGTACTTGGTGACCACCCATTGCAGGTTGATAGGTTCAGGCACTTGGACCAGAATGTCCTCAGCTACATTCTCTACTATCTGCAGAGGCAGAGACATTGACTGACAGGGCTGGCCTCCTTCAACCCCTTCAAGATTTCACAACCAGTCTTCCCACAGGGGAACAGTCAAGATGGCAGAACCTGACTTGCCCAGACTTTGGCCCTTTCCCTTGCTATCACCCACCTCTTCCCTGCCTTGGCCACCTGCAGAGGATGATTTGGGCTGCAGCTGGATGATGGCACCAAGCAGAGCAAAAGTCTCATTCTGGGCAAAGGTGATGTTGGCATTGTCATGTAGGCCAAAGATTTCAGGCATATCATTGAGTGGGAGGCTCTTTATATATGAGAGGTAGCCCTAGGAGGTAGAAGGGTCAAAGATGAAGGCCCTGCCTTGCTCTAATCCTCACCTCCCAGCCTTCAGAGTCGCTTTCCTATTGAGCACACTGCTTGTCACCCCTGGTAGTAATCCTTGGGCCTCTTATTGTTCTCAGGACCGCATGGTATCTTTGATGCTGTATGCCGTTTGCTTCCCTCCCAGCATCCTTCCCTCACTGCCTTCTAGCTTCCTGCTACTTCATGTAGCTGCTCAAACCTGATGTAGTCCACCACCCCTAGCATAGGTGCTTTTGCACTGGGCCCACTCAACCTAGCCTTAGACTTCTCACATACCTCACTGGAAGTATGTCCTCTGGGAGCCTCCCTGACTGAAGAACCTGGATTGGTCACCACACTGAGCAACTACACATAGGAAATGGTGAGTCTGAATTCACCTCTCTCTCCAGTTTGTTTCATAGTGACAAGAATTAATTCTTATTTCTCTCACTGTAGGATGGATTAATGGAAAGGATGCTTCTAGAGGGAGGATCGTGCCTTCCCTGCTAGACCCCTGGCATCAAAGTGCTATGGAATTCTAGAACCCTGCCTAGTAATCATGCCCAACCCATGGGGGTGGCCTCACGTTGAGGTCATAGGTGGGTTGGATCTGGTGGTAAACACCAGAGGGACTGTAGCTGTGGTCAGGGGAGAGCACGTCAGGGTTGTAGAAGTCCTCCAAGATGTTCATGACGCAGCGGCGATCCCAGTCATCAGTAACGCGGCCCCCATAGTTGATCTCCCCAGCTGTGTACTTGAGGACCTACACAGTGGGTGGTGAGGGCTCTCATAATTGCCCAAGCCACTGACCCCCCCCTCCCCATCTATCCCTGGCCCACCTTATAAGGGATATCATCATATTCATCTAGGAACATCTTGAGTTGGCTAATGCAGATGCGCAGGTCTCCATCTGTGAACTCATAGGGGATGTTGAAGCCTAGGGGCCCAAACTTACGACGTTCTAGTGCATTTCCATGGAATAGACACAGAGACAGCAGCAGGGACTTGAACTCCATCACCTGCAGGAAGTAGAGGGGCAGCAGGTATAAGAAACAGGGATGGAAGCAAGTAGGTTGGTATGCATCAAATGTTTATCACCTTATTACAGGAATGGAGGAAGTCATCGCTGAGGTTGTTATAGGACTTTAACAGGTTGGCCTTGACTCCACGTGGTGGCTCAATGGTCATCTTGGAGCCATTTTGCAAGATGGATACTGGGAACTTGTTGCTGGGAAGGCTAGTGAGCCACAGGCGGAAGTCCCGGTGTACCTGGTGGACCAGGGCTTCTCATGAAAAAGACCAGAGCTTAGGTACCCTCCTATCCAGCGTCCTTGGGATCACCTGTGACCTACTTCTTTGGGCTAAGTCAGAAAATGTTGCATGGACAAGTGGTTAAGAATATGGACTGGGTGCCAGTGGTTCATGCCTACTCAGGATGCTGATCTAAGGATTGTGGTTCAAAGCCAGTCTAAGCAGATAAACTCATGAGACTCTTATCTCCAATTAACTAGCAGAGTCAGAAGTACATGTGTGGCTCAAGAAATAGAGTGCCATCAAGAAGCATAGACTGCCCAAGTGAGAGTGTGAGACTGGCAGGCACACAGGCACACAGACACACACAGGCACACACACACACACACACACACACACACACAGGCTCACAGGCTTTGGCAAATCCCAGGGTTACCAATCCTAGGCAGATCCCTTGAGACCTAGTAACTTGGAGGACTGTTGGGATTAATCTATTTCTGACATTATATGTAAAGTCATTAATACATATGTCACTCACTTTGGAGCTGAGTGCTTCACAGGATTATCTTATTTAAGCCTCATCAGTCCTGGATAGCTTAATTAGTTCCCTTATAGAAAAGGACATAGTGGGTCTGTGACTGGAAGCATGGAATACCTTGTCAGGGTTGATGTGCTCAATGAGGCGTTCCAGGGCTGGCATCCAGCTTGGTGCCAGGTGGCAATTCTGGAAGAAGACCCATTTGCCCCTCTCTATGGAGCTGCGCATCATTGCTTCTGCCCGAGGGCCCTGTGGATTCGGAGTACTGGTTGGTGATGGGCAGCTGCCCATCCCCCAGTCTCATCCCTTCTTTCCTGCCTACCTCTTACCTGCCCCTGACCCAGGGAGATGGCAGAGAGCTTCTTGGAAAACTTCATCTCTTCGGCAAACTTGTAGAGATCAGCAGCTGGGTCTGTGCCAGGTGACAGCACAAAGATGAGGGGTGTCGTGGAGTTGGAATCTTTGAACACCAGAGACAAGTTGGCTGTCTGCATGGATGGAAAGATGCTGGCACCCCTGGAAGCTAAGGAGAGACAGGGCCCAGGACAAGGAAAAAGGATCTGGGGCTCTCAAGGAGGGCCCAGGCCTTCCTAGTGAGGCCTGCAACTTCCTAGATGCTTTGGGGGTTCTGACATGACCCAAGGTTATGAGGTAGTCTGTTCAGTGCAGCCTGCACTGAGACTTACATATTATTTCTGGATATCACACTTGCCTGGGGCTCAATGAAGCGTGGCTCCAAGTTGTTGGCCACAAAGTCCTGCATGGCATTGGTAACTTTGTCTCCACGAAGACAGCGGAGAACTAGCAGTTTCTGGAACTGGTCCAAGAACGTTTCCCAGATGCCAGGCAAGGGCTCCCTGTAACAGTACCCATATCTCCCTGAGAAGCCAGCCTGCAGTAGGCCTCAGACCCCAGGAATTTTGGTAGCTGGACAGCAGGGGACAGTGGGGTGTTCCAAGAATACAGAGTCAGGGACCTGAGATGGCCACAGGTGCCGAGAAACCTGGGTGATCCCTCCCAGAAGCCCCCCTGTGGCTGCTCCTGGGCTCTCACGTCCTTCAGGTACCATATTTGCCATACTCTGGAACCCAGCTCACCGGTGGGGCTCAAGGCTGTCGAAGATTTTCTGGAAACTTGAGAGATGTTTCACAAAGTCAGAAGAGAAAGCGTAAAAGGTTGGTAGGATGGATAGTGCCAGGATGTCTCTCCAGGCCCTGTCTGACAGCCAGTTTGGTGCAGGGTTCTCAGTCATGGCTTGAATGGAGCCCCCAGACAGAAGGTAGCGCCATTCACCCTGAAAGGGGACAGAGAAGGCTGGTTCCAAGGCCCTGGGGCCAGCATTTCCTTGCCTCTGGGCACTTCATCTAGAAAAATCCAACCACCTCTGGGGGGTGGTTGGTCAAACAGCTTTGGATGGTATCTTTACTCTGTCCTTTGCTGGAGTGTGCTCCACAGGATCTCCTAGCCAAAACCCTGTGGAGGCTCAGGAGAGTCTGCCCTTGGGGACAGCACATTCAAGGTTTTTTTTGTGTATTGGGGCTTAAAAAATTCTTTTTTCTTGTCCTGGGGCTTGAACTCAGGGCTTGGGTGCTATCCCTGAGCCTCTTTGTGTTCAAGGTTAGTCCTGAACCACTTGAGCCTCAGAACCACTTCCGGCATTTTCTGAGTAGTTTATTGGAGATAAGAGTCTCACAGACTTTCCTTCCCAGGCTGGCTTTGAACTGTGATCCTCAGATCTCAGCCTCCTGAGTAGCTAAGATTACAGGTGTGAGCCACCTGTGCCTGGCAGATTCAAGGTTTTAAGAAGGCCTGTGCTCACATCATTGATCAGGTAACATGAACCCAGGGTTTAAGCAAGCAATTAGGTTTCCTTAAGCCTATTGTTCATGCTGTGAATAAAGGAACTTTTCCTTTCCATTTAGGCTGTCCTCTCAGATCTACAAGAGGGCAAACCCTCATGCAGACAGTCTACTGGCAACCTGTCTGCTCCTTTACCTGGTTGATCTTGCCCTCATTCATCATGATGCGGACACACAACAGGAAGGCAAACATAAGCTTATGCTTCTCAAAGAGGCTGCGGCAGACATTGCTATAAAGGCTGTAGGTCAGGTAGCGGTTGATGTTGACAATGCGCTTCTTCAGGTTGTCTGCAGGGCAGAGTGGTGATAGCTGAGCTCAGGAAGAAGGGAGGTCTAGCCCAGTCTATCCAGTCTCCCTCAGCCTTTGGGGGAAGAGTCTGGGCATACCTATGAACTGTTGTTAACAGTACAGAGGGGTCCAAGGAGGCTTGGGAGTAGTGGATGTGCCAGTGAACATGGGTATGAGTTTACATCTGTGTCCCACAGTGGAAATGTGCCCCTACACTCCTATGTCAGGGTGGACCAGGATTACCTGCCCTCTCAGAGTTGGCAATGCCGGAGAGGAAGATGTTGAGGAACCATTCGAGGGAGTACTGGTACATGGGGTCCACACTGGCCAGGTCAGATACACAGAAGAAGAGGATCTGGGTGCGGACAGCCACAGGTATATACTCCATGCGTGTGAGATCAATGTCCTTCTCTGTCTGCTCTGCAATCCTGACCTTGGCCTGGGGTTACAGTGTGAGGCATGTGAAAACCCCAGGTAGGCTAGCAAAGAGCAGAAAGCAATGGGGGCAGGGGGGAGGGTCTGAGGCAGGTGGGTTAAGATGGGGGAAGCAAGGCTGGGCAGGTGAGGAGATGTAGGAAAAGGTGGGGGACAGATGGGGAGAAGTGGGAGCAGGCTTGGGGCATGTGGGGAGAAGTTGAGGGCAGGAGGGGAGAGGCAGGTGGGTGGGCATGCAGTTGCTGACCTGGATTTCAGCGGCTTTCATCTTGGAAGCCTCTAGCACCTTGATGAGCTCCATGTCATCCACAGGGTTGCCCTCAGAGGAGCTTAGTCGGTAGAGGATCTGGTCTTCAATGTCCTTCAGCTCCTGACGCATCTTAGCGTTACTGATAATCAGCTGGTTCTTGGCCTCCTCCAAGTCGGGTCGCTCCTCAGCCACTACCTGGCCTAGTAGCTGGTCCTCTAGGCCACTGCCAGGGGCAAGTGAAACCATGTTGGTAATGCCTGGTAAGCTCTAGAGGGACAGCTTTGAGTCTTCTCACTTATCTACCTGTGCCCTGAGTCTGCAAGAGCCCAGCATCCTTGCCAGTGACAGCTTGGGAGGGCTGACCTCCATCTCAGGCTACAGAGACAGTTCAAAGGCTGCCTTCAAAATAAAAGTTCTGTTCTTAGACTTTGGGTGGCAGTCTGGAGTCCCACCAGGGGATGGCTTGTTGGAGCTTGAATCCCTGAGCAGTTCTTCCTTAGCATGTAAGAGTTTGGGGTGACCAAAAGGACAGGCCACAGGGTGCTTTTGCTCTCTGGTTTGTGGAGAGGTTCATAGTAACCACTGGGATGGGGGCCTTGACACCGAACGGGACTGTGGAGTGAGGGTTCCTAGGTGGAAATGGAGGCAGGTAGAAAAGGTGATGAAGTGCCTGAAAAGCCTTGGGATGCTGGAGTATCTATATCTAAGAGGAAGCTGGGGGACCATTGAGTAGGGAAACACAAGTCCCTAAGGTACTAGTGTGGGGGTAACCAAGGGACAGCTGGTAGGAGAGGCAGGACTGACGCTTGAGAGGGCACTGGGTAAGGGCTTACCTGGGTGACAGGGTGAAGTTGATGAGAGTGAGTTTAGTGGCAATCTCAGGGGTGTAGTGTGGGTTTGGCAGCTTGGTGGTGATATACATCCTGAAGTCCTCATGGTAGGGTATCACAGTGTCCCCCAGTTTCAGCACTGTGTTTCCCTGCTGCTTGTATGTCTATGATGGGTGAGATGGGCAAGCACTGTGGCAAGAGCTTCTTCTGTGTGGTGTGGACAGATCCCTGTCCAAGCCTCTAGCCCACATCTCTCCCTCCCTGACAGGCCCACCTGCTTGAGCAGCACAGGCTCCAGGGCGGGGTCTAGCTCCTCTCCCACATTCTCCAGAAGGCATGGTTTGCCAAAGCGTATGGCATTCTCCATGCTGCGCAGGAAGTCTCGGTCACTCAGTTTGAACACATCCAGTCCATTTTCTTTTTCCTGTAGGAACAGGGAGAAGTTAAGTAAGGGTTAAGAGGTAGCATGGGACTCAACATTTCCCCTGCTCCTGTTTGGCCTGACTGGGGTGGGGGAGAAAGCTTACCATGTTTTTGATCCATTTGTTGGCTTGGCTCTGAGGGTCAATGAAGTGGGTCCAGCGCTGGGAGTACTGGTTGATGACTCCATTCTCCACCGACAGAGTGTCATTGGGGAGGCCAGCAATCTGTGTAAGGCCAGGTATACCTGGGTAAGGGCTCTTGTTAAGAAGAGTTACTCCCAACCTCATGCTTTGGCAATAGACTTCATTCTTTATCTCACCCTGGGATGTAGAGGACAGAGGCAGTACAGGCAAGGTCTCAGTCTCTTCTAGGATTTCTGCCCCTCCTGAATCTGGGATGGCCCCTGGTGCCTTCCTGTGCTGGGTATTTCTGTCCTCATGCCTCCTGAGTCCTCACGCAGTGACACTACTTTCACAGAGTGCACACCCCGCACACCTTCTTGGCCTTGGCCTATATTTGGCTTTTTTGGCCTTTGGCTTCTGTCTACAGCCTCTTTATTATCTTTCTTTGCCAACTTGCTTGCCTTTTAGCATCTAGGTCCTTCCTTTCTATTCCTTTCTTCCTTTCTTCTTTCTTTCTTTCTTTCTTTCCCAGGGCCTCATGCATGCAAGGCAAGCACTCTACCACTGAGCCACCTTCCAAGCCCACAGGAAACCTTTCTTAACCCTTACTGTGGATACTGCTCTCTTGTCTCATTCTTTTACAAGTACCCCTAAGTCTTCTTCCCTCATCTATGCCACACTTAACCCAGCTCGCTTGCTCCCTCCCTCCCTCCCTCCCAC